ATGATGGTTGAGGAGATACAGATGGGACAAACGAAATGAAAACAGGAGAGGAGTGAAGGATTATCTGGGGAATATTTAGTGCTCCAGCATTTACCTAAACTTAAAAGGTCTAAAGAAAACACAGAATCCTGGATCCTGGAGGCTGTTCTTCCGAATAATAATCCAAGATGTGAACCTCGAACTCGATCGGTTTTAAGCGTTGACTATCAGCAAATAACTATACAACCAAGTGTTACTATTCGCCGCAAATTTTAAACACCCTGTATTCTTCATGTGCGTCTACATCAGTGAGCTTTTCGCCATCAGGATGAAGTCTGCCAAACGACGCGTGTCAATTATGTCCTGTCGTCTCATGGCTGACCCCATCTCGAAGAACTTAAGTGCTCATTGAGCTGAGCATAAATTCGAACGGCTGGGCTATGCGTCGTGTCGCCGGCGCACTGAAACATGTTTTTAATTGGTTTACAGCATGGCGCTATAAATATCAGTGCAGTTATATTTTCTAATACGTTAAAATGAATTATACTAATAACTCGAGAACTATCATAGGTTTATTCATGTAGGTGTTAATGTTCTTTTCTTTTTTCCTAACTGTACCCAAATCTACCACCAAACTAGAAAATTATTAATTGAGTCGATTAGAAATGATTCACAGATAGAGTTTTCTTGTTGAGTTAGATTCTTAGAAATAAAATTGCTTCAACTACTGGCTATTAAACATAAAAAGATAGCATTTTATGATTCATTTTTGCATTTGTTTATCAATTCATTCACAGTTATTTAACATTTCTCTGCATTTTTTACCTACGCACATTCCGCCTCTTCGTGCGATATGCACTTTAAAAAGGAAACGTCAAATAGCTCTCTAACGAGAGACAATTTGAACGAATTGAAACAACGGTAATTGGTCGTTTAAGATAAGATTATCAAAGTTCCGGAACCGGGCTCTATTTCTAACATTAATAAAGTTTAAGCCGAATGCTAACATTTCCCTTAAAGAACGTGACAGATAGGCATTGCTGTACAGTAAAGTGACCCTTATTCGATCTTGCATGAAAATGTATTAATTTAGCGTGCTTACTAATAATCAACTCGAAAAAAATATATATTTTGTAAGATCACTCAAGATTGTTTTAAAGTTTCGAAAATTGTTAAAAATTGTATTTGTTTTCTCTAATTTTCTATTTCAAATTATCCGTTGGGCTAAATGATGAGATTCTGGGTTCGTATCTTGAGACTCATCACAAGGAAATGCATTTTTCGAACAAACTCTTGAATAAAATCCGTCAGAAGACAATATTAAAACATTTAACTAATAAGCAAAAATGTTTCGGTTATTTGACGTTCATCAGTTGTTATTATGTGCACCCGGTAAATAATTTTCATTTTGCCATCGAAAAAAGATACAATGTCATTCTTACAATCAGTCAAGAAAAAGTCAGAGTATTTCTTTCTCAAAAGCATCAACAGATATTAAAAAACTTAAAATGCTTGAATGAAAGAATATGTCAATATATTTTAAAGATCATTTTTAGTACTAAAACTATGGGTAGAAAACACATACAGGATATAGTAGTAAAATAATAAAGTAAATTATTCTTGCCAAATTATCAACCTAATGACTTTATTAATTACATAGAAGACAGGATGTACTAACGGTGCTTTTACAGGTCTTTATAACTTTTGATCTTGTGTCTGTATTGTTGAAACGTCATTGATTTTAGCTTTCAACAATATTTATAACTTACGGCTTTTTGATCCATGTTTTACAAAACCAAATGCCAACGGCAGATGTGACATGTACGTTCGGGAATGTATAAGTAGTAAAGCACTAATTAAGTCGAACAGAAGGTGCTCCTACTGGTTCTTTTCTGAAAAGTTTTTGACGTCTGCGGCTGGTATGAAGATGATAAAGTTGCGCTAGGTATTAGATGGATACCTGCATGTTTACAGGCATAATTTAGTTGAGACACGTGTTAAAAATTATATAAGACAGCAGCTGAACCAGAACAAGGCTTTCAGACACAAGACAGGATGTAAACACCTATGTTCTTCCCCATAGCCAACAAGATGGATCTACCCCCTTTTTATACTAACCCGTGCGCTATCCCATATTATATACACATATAAATATGCACGTTTATATTAGGTAGAATTCGGGACTACTTCAAGGTAAAAGGTTTGAAAATCTTCAAGAACAGAAAATATAAAACTGTTGAAAGGAAACTAAATGAAAAATAGAATTTAATTACCTACGTTTTACTAAATGTGTAATATTTAGAAAAACCTATAATAATTATTTTTACAATAATATGGAATTTGAGTAAATAAACGAAAGTTTACAACAATAAATTCCGATTTAACTCAAATCTTTTCACTTTTATAAAAAAGGAAAATTCACTCTTCTTTGAATTCCTTAGCATACACAAAAACAGTTATAAATTACAAGCTTTTACCCGCGGCTTTGCTCGCGTTGCTGTCCTAAATATGCGTCAAAGATTGCCGAAAATACAATAATTTGATAAATTTGTCCTTAAGTCCTGACCAGGATCATCAGGATAATTCAGAAGTTTCTAAATTTCTAGGTTAAACAGTAAATTTCTCTATCGAGTTGAAAAGGAATTTTTTTACCCCTCGAAAACAATTTTTTTTTTCTGAATAAAAGGTACCTTTATGTACTCAAAATTCAAATTCGCAATTTATAATATTAGTTATGATTACACTACTCATATTTCCAAAAACGCTTGAACAATTGTTACATGTTTCATTTGAATAAGAATTATCATACATTCCTGCACATAATATAAATTAAATTAAATCGCTGATTTCCAAAATTATAAATTAAATTATAATGCAATTTTTGGTATGGTTTATTGTATTATTTTAGCTAATTTTCATTAATCCAAAACCATAATGATCTATAGATACAGTAGATATTTTTGTACGAAATTTTATTCTTTTAGTAGCGTATTTTTACAATATTTCATTAAAAAAAAATTGTAAATTATGCATTTTCGTTGTGTTAAATAACATTACGACGTTATGAAATTAGATCTGCTGCTTATTCAATTTAAAATGCAGAAAAATAACAGATTTTATTACGAATGATCATTAAATCATTTTGCTGTATCAGATAAATTATTTATAAACACCAGTTAAGGACAATAAGGTTTTTCCAAAGTATTTTTTTTTTTCACCATAATACGAAACGTTTCTTAAATATGTAGTTGTAAACGAATAATATAACACGCTAAAATATTTCTTCTTGTTTGTTGACGCGGGTAGAGGGGGGAGGGTGCGATGAGTGCAACTGCCCCCCCCCCCCCCCCGAGACTAAATTTTTACCAATTCCAAAATATATCTATATTTTTGTGTTAATGTGGATTGAATTTTATTAAATTTTTGTTCAAAACGAATTTACTGGAATCATAAAACCCCCTCCCCCAATATTTTTTTCTATCTGCGCCTACTTTATTGCTACATGTTACGAACATTTGTTTTTAACGTTTAATTGTTCACCGAGTAATTACTTTTTCCACCTGAAGAAACCACATTTATTCATATAACGAAAGATCTTTTGAAATTTGTGCTTTGTTCGCTTCCATGAAGTCGTTATGGACTTACTCAATAGTATAATAGTCTGTTTTACTCCAGTTGAGACTCGAGAAAGTAAATAAAGGTTTATTTCAAAATATTTGTTAATAAAACCATATTTGCTACAATATGTACATACATGTTTGACGCAAAGTCCGAAAACGACATTTTGAATAATTCTGTCTATTAAGATCGGACACGTCTCCCTACGATCAGAGTTCGAAATGTAACTGACTTTTTAGGTGTGTTGCTCTGGAGGAGTAAAGTTAAAGAATTGAAAACCAACAAAGAAATTAACCCATCATAGCCCAAGCTACATATGCTTACTTATTAAAAAAAATTTTGGAGTGATTTTTGTCTGGAGCCCTAATTACTTAGTTTTGTTCGGTTTTTCAAAAAAAATCACACAACAAAATTTTTACTGCGTTACATTAGATTAGAGTAGGTTTCCGATAGGTTAGGTTACATTCGCTTCTTTTTTAATGTCCAATTACACACTACCAAAGTTCAAAGAAAACATTCTAATTATGTGCCATTTGCATAATCCTAAATTCAGTCGTTAAGAGGCGTCCAAAGCTACGTTAGGAGCTTTGAATTGGACGAAATATGCTGCCAATTGTCGTTTTTAGTACTTTGTGACCAACATACAATAAATAATAATAATAGGAAACAGAAATTGCTCGCGAACACGTACAAAATCTACATACATTTTAGTGAGCAATTGGTCCTGAAACCGCAAAGCAATTCGTCACATACGGTGTTCAGGTGCGTCCTGCACGTGCTCCGCTTCAACGATTGTTTCCGGTCGGAGATCATATTACTACAACCCCATTTTATTATGTTCTTTACTAGCTTTTAGAATGCAGGACCCCCATGACAGCAAAAACTAATGTTCTTAAGCTACCATCGGTTAACACTAAAATGTGTGCAAAAACAAACGTTGCTATTCTATATTCGTACAGGCGTGATGCTGTGAACCATAAATATCTTCCATCTTTTTATAAAATACAAGAAAGTTATACGTATACGTAGGTACTTTATAGATTTAGTATTAATGTTAGAATCAAAAATCTTACTAAAGTCTGAGATTGAAAAATTAATGAAATTTTATTCAAAAGATCAAATTGGTTTTCATATAGGTACGTTTTATTAATTGTTCCTAACAACTTTTTTGCTAAATTTTGGCTTTCGAATAAGTTTGGACAGTACTTATACAAGTTGGTTAATGTATTTTTACTTAATACCATTTTCAAAATAGACGTCAACATCATTTCACTCGTTCGGTATGTTGTGTAATTTTTGAGATTTACTGTTGGTTTTAATTAAAACTTAATAGTTTTCATTTTCATCTCCATAACCGATGTCTGATTAATGTTTACTCTCTTCTAATTATGTTTTCTTTACAGACGACGATAAAAGTTTACGCAAAATGTTTACGTCCCGATATCGAGTACAAAACTTTAAGTATAACTTACCAAACAACGTGTGGAGAAGTAGTTTCAACACTTTTGGGAAAGTACAAAATGAAACACAGAGATCCGAAATTGTTTTATTTAAGCATGGAAGTAACTGTAAGAAAAGCTGGCATCAGGACTCATTTAGCTCTTGATACTGAAGCAAAACCTGCAGTTCTCCAAAGTTGTCATCCACGTGGAGATTCAAAGTGAGTTGATAAATTTATTATTAATAATAAAATAAATTCGTAAATCATTTTCATATGTATTAGTTTCTGTCGGATTTAAATGAAGAGTATTGTCAGATTTTATAGGTATAGTCAGCAACACAAGTTAATCAATACTTTTTAGAAAAAATGTCGGATAAAAGTAAATCTTATTACAGCGGTTATCCTTTCATTTATCAATTATTAGTTATAGAATCAATGACGGAAGTAGTCAATCATATTTGAAAGGCTTCAGCCAGTATATTACAGTAATTTAAAGGAAATTGAGTTTGTAATCAATCAGATTAAAGCGCGAAAAAAGTCATATTTCAAGGCTCTACAGTTTTTATGAACGTGATTCTGAATGGAAAGTGCATAGCGTAAAGTAGGCTACTAATTAAAAGATGTAATTGGAATTGTGTTCAGATTATATGTGTGTAAGAATGGTAAATCAATTTGCTGTACCTAAGAATAATCGAAAAGCTTTTTGTTTTCTCTTATCGAAAAAGATAAACGCTCCACTTTCATAATCGACTATAGGTAACTGATATTACGTCATTTTGAGTTACTTTTTTATTTTAGCTATTTAACACAAAATTAATATTTAGCTTATGTTTTAATTGGGGTGTTGGGGTTTCATACACCACGAAAAAAAAAACCTTTATTCATACTTCAATTTGTTCTAAAATAATTTAATTTCTTTTATGGACCAGGCTCTGTATCGAACATTTTTTTTGTATATTCTGTTCCAGATTTTCTCTGCAAACTAAAAGAGGAGGCCTTGTAAAAGTTTACGACTCCGTGTTAAATACCAATTCACAATACAAAAGCCTTCTAATCAGTGCCCAAACCACAGTGGACGAGGTCATTTCTCTTTTACTGACATGTTACAATAGCAAAGAGAGGGTCGAACAGTTTTCTCTTTATGAAGTATGTCCAGAAAAAGAACAACAACGGAAGCTTCATCCGGATGACCGACCCTTGCAAGTACAACAGATGTGGTTACCATCCACTCAATGCCATTTTCTAGTAAGACGCAATCCCGAATATAATATGCCTCTTTCAAGACGTAAGGTAATTGTGACATTTTGTTTTTATATACTATCAAAACATTACATATAGATATGTTTATTACATACATTAAAATTTTTTATAATTGCGGTAATTGTTCTAAACTAGACAAAGTTTCTTTTATAGACGAGAGGCTGTATCAAACTTCCAATTAAACAAATTGAAACTTGGTAGATAACTTTTGTTTTATCAAAAGGCAAAGGTCTTAAATATTTAAATTAGTTAAATTGTTATCATACATTGATACAATATTTTTCTATTTTCCAGCAATTAAAACCGAAAGAACTGACTATGAATATCTGTTTGGTGATTTATTTATTTTTGTTTTGTCACATCAGATTCGATTGTTACTTAATTCTATACACGCGTGGAATGTAGTTTCAAGAAAAAAAATTCGATAAAAAAAGAATTCTAAAAACTATTGGCGTTTATCTAGTTGTATTTCATGAAATAAATAATTGAATATTTGAACACAAATTAATTCTATTATATTGTCTGTTTGTCTACTAATATTTTAATTAATTATTTGAAGATGCTCTGGATTCACGATCTTCCACCAATACCTCAGTCACGAACTTCACAACAACTGCATTACAGGTCTCAAATTTCAAAATCACAGTCATCGTTATTACCAACGAAAAAGAATATTTCCGAAGAAAAAGATGTTAATAAACGCAGAGAACAGCCTTCTGCGAAGCTAACTAATAGTCCTTCGTATGCAGATTATGAAAATTATTTTTATATTTAGAACTTAACGAATCATCAAGAATTAAAAGACTAAAAGGAGTATTGCACTTATTTATCATTTTGTAATATAGAACTGCATTTATTCAAAATTTAAAACCAAAGACATATTATTACATACTGTATTACCACTTTTCATTAAAAAAATGTGTACTATTTGTTCGTATGTAAATGTGTGCGTGCTAGTGGATGGATGTAATTTTGACTTTTCTGTGTTGAATATTTCATATCTTATTAGATTGTAAACTCGTGTCATAATTATAAGGCAGTTGACAAGTAATTTTTCATTTCGTTGCTGTTTTTTGTGTAATTCAATTAATACCATTTATATCGCGTCGTAAATGAGTTAATTCGGTTAATATTTACTTATGTATGTGCAATCATTTGGCAAATAGATTTTTAGTTTGACATCGTAAGCCAAAGATTATTATTGTTTTCCATTTTGTATATATATACTGTGTGTATTTGTAATAAAGACTAAAGCTTCTATTTATTTTCCCTGAAAGCTTAGTAAATACCTTCCTCTCCCAATAATTTCATGAGTTCTTATATATACATTAGAAAAAATAATTTGATACAACACTTGGAAAACCGTGGCACTGAAATTTGATGTACTTCTATACACAATTATCAACTCTCAAAGCTCGGTAAATATGTTCTGTATCTGAATAGTTTCACGAGCGCATGTCTGTTTAAATAACTTAATATATTTTAGCAATTAATAAAGCCAGAAAGCACCTATTTGATACCGTACATGAAAACCGTTGACATCATGAGATTCTGCATACTTTTTAACATAATTATCACTTCTCAAAGCTTAGTGAGCATTTTCCGTCTATGTATGATTTAACGAGCGCTTTTCTGTGTTTAAATAATTTGATATATATGAGCAAATAATGCCGGAAATTACCTATTTGTTACCGCACTTGAAAACTTTTGGCACCATGAGATCTACATATTTTCTAAGATAATTATCACTTCTCAAAGCTTATTAATTATTTTCCGTCTATGTATGATTTAACGAGCGCTTTTCTATGTTTAAATAATTTGATATATTAGCAAAGAATGGTGCCAGAAATTACCTATTTAACACCGCACTTGAAAACTGTTGATACCATGAGATTTTACCCACTTTTTTACATAGTTATGACTTTTCAAAGTTTAGTAAGTATGTTCCGACTCCGAATGATTTAACGAGCGCTTTTCTGTGTTTAAATAATTTGATATATTTTACCGAAGAATAATGCCGCATAGTACCTATTTGATATCGTACATCATGAGATTCTACATACTTTTTAACATAATTATCACTTTTCAAAGCTTATTAAGTATTTTCCGTCTACGTATAAGTTAATGAGTGCTTTTCTCTGTTTAAAAAATTTGATATATTTTAGCAAAAATAATGCCGGAAGGTACCTATTTGGTATAGCACATGAAAACCGTTGGCAAATTAAATTTTAAATAATCAAACGAAATATACTGCTCGTTCGACACTTTGCTAGTTGTTAAAACAGAAAGAGATTATAGTTGAGGAATTAATTGAACACGAATTTGCACATCATTTGGACGAACGCATCTTAATTACATTTTAAGGAGAAGAATAAAAAAACTGATGACATAACCTATCTTATACATTATCTTTCTGTTTTATTTTTGTATATCAATAAATAGTAATTTCAAAACATTACGATAATTTATAATTATGAGTAATCAACCTACATCGGGCCCTACAGGAAATAACGAAGATGATGAATTGACTTTACCCCGAGCAAGTATCAATAAAATGATAAAGGAATTAGTACCATCTGTAAGAATTGCTAACGAAGCAAGAGAGCTGGTTTTAAATTGTTGTACAGAATTTATACATCTAATTAGTTCAGAAGCTAACGAAATTTGTAATCAGTTGCGAAAAAAAACTATAAATGCAGAACATGTACTTATGGGTATGTCTCAAAATCACATTAACTTCGTTATATAATGTAATATTCTTTTTAGCATTAGAAAGATTAGGTTTTGCTGATTACACTGCAGAAGCTGAAGCTGTGTTGAAAGACTGCAAGGCTGTAGCTGCAAAAAGGCGAAGACAGAGTACAAGATTAGAAAACTTAGGCATTCCAGAAGAAGAGCTGTTACGCCAACAACAAGAATTGTTTGCAAAAGCAAGACAAGAACAAGCATTTGCTGAACAGCAGCAGTGGGAGCAATTACAAGCTGCAGCACAACAAGCTCAGACTTCAGCTCTTGCTGCTACTGATGACCAAGAAGACTATTCATAATATAATTACAGCATTTTTATATTTAAGATGTAACAAATATAGATTTTAAATTCAATTAAAGAGATTCATTTAATCCTTTAAATATTCACTTAATCAGATGACAAGTGAAAATAAATAGGTACATAATTACTTTATTGTACTGATTTGTTTACTTCCTCTTCAAAAAATTGTTTAATTTTTAAAAGTGAAAGTACTTGAAAGTTGTTTATTGTTAACAAAATAAATATATTTTAGTGAACATTTACGAAGGTTAGGATTTTCGTATTAGTTATTAAATTTATAAAATATAATGTGAATTATAAAAACGAATTAACAAGTAATTNTAACTAAATGGTAAATGATGTAGAAAACCTGCAATTATCAGGAAGTATTAATAATATTAGGGAATTTCTGGCAGTTTAATTGTAACAATTCAAAGTTTCGAAACTAAAGTAGCCTATAAATAGTATTACACCCTAGACCCTAGAGGATAAACAAATATGCAATAAAAGAATTATTTTCCTACTGCATTTTCGAATAGAAATTTTAAATCGAAACAAAGAGAAAGGTTTGATCGTGTTATTTCATGTTGGTATATGTTTGTATAGCGTCCATAACCTCAAATTTATGCAATGAAGTACACTCTACCAATGCATCGAGAGTGACTAACTAAAGCATGCAAGATATTGTGTTTAGTTTACATATTGCTAGTGATTATAAAAGTATTCCATTTATATTACAATTATTAAACCATACGTGTTGTGTAACAATTTTGTGATGTCATAGGTAATTTAATTGGCGTATATTGTTTCTATATATAGTTTTTTTGATAATATTTCCATTATATTTTCATTGAAATGCAGCTTTTATTTTTGGTAAGAAATTCAGACATATTCTCAGAAAAAAAAAATGTAAAAAACTACATTTGTTATTCAGTGTTAGCCATTAATATATCCTATTTTCATTCATAAATATCTATTTACAATTAGACTTGAAGATATGTTACCCTATATACACCATTCTGTATGTTTGTTTGCATAGGTGTTAGGGTAGATTTGTTTCTTGTTAGGTGGAAGTGACGATCGTAACCTTTGGTGGATACATTTTTATTTCGTTTAATCTATTAATTGTTTTGAAAACTCGACATTAAACATTTTTAAAGATGGGTTTCCGTGTACGTATATATTGTCTGTGTTAGTTCAAATGAATAAAAGGAAAATATAAATATACCGGATTTGTTGGCTCCAATTGATTTCTCTGTGCTTTGTTTTCTTCTATCATAAAAGTCTTATTTTTGTAGGTAAATTATGGAATCATCTTTTTTAGATAGAAAATCGTTTACCACACCAACACAGAATATTTTTATTAATAAATTAAAAAAGAAGTACAGAAAGCAAAATATTAAAAGTATTAAACTACATAAACCTCATTTTGTATACACAAAGTTTAAGAGTAATCTTAGAAAAGAAGTGGAGCGAGGTAACATATATTTTACAATTATGCTATTATGTTTATGTAAAATGACCTAAATATTGTTTGATGTATTTTTACTTTAAGGTTTAAAGGGAAAAAATGGTTGTTTACAAACCATTTCATCTGACATTAAAACACATTTAGTAAATGTAAATAAGCTTCTGGATCATTTTAATGAAAATTCTTCAGTCATTGGTAAGGTAGGCTTCATAGACCCTGATAGCAATACTGTAACAGTTGCATGCAATGACTCGCTTTGTAATTCACAAAAAACTATTGAAGAAGAGTCATTATTAAAGCAATATCAAAATTCAGTTGTAAACATTAATGATGATCAAGAAATATTCCTTAGAAAAATAGAACTGCAAAGAAAGCATTGTAATGATTCTAAACTGGATGTAAATCATAGCAGTAAAGAGTTAAAATTATTGAAAATCAAAGAAAACAATGAATTACTAAAGACTTTCAATATAAGTAAAACAAACAATGTATATAAGACTGTAAAAAAACGAAATTACCTTCAAATTAAGCCCACAGAAACCAAGCCACCTGAAATAATGTATGAAAATGATGGAACAGAATATTACATTTCAAGCAGAACAAATCGTAAAAGGAAAAGGGTAGATTATGTAACCCTTGATCATGGACTGATGTATTCTGAAGAACTTGAAGCACCCAACGTTAAAAAACAAAAACATAGTTTAAAAGATTCTGATGAAATTTCATCAAGTGAAGCAAGTGAACAAAATGATTCGAATTTAGAAACAAATAAATCTTCATCTCCTACACAAACGATTGGAGGAAAATTGCAAGTTTTTTATTTTATGCATTTATAAATAAGAATGCCTTTTAATTAAATTACACACTTAAAAAAACTTTTGATTTAAGGACTAGGAGAAAGAAGACAAAAAAAAAGGAGAACCAGAATGACGAATGTGCAGACAACCCTGAGAAAGTAGTAACTTGTGCAGTTTGTAATTTGGAACTGGATTTTACATCTTGGTCTTACCACAAACAAAGACATCACAATAATTTGGCATGGAGAATTGGTGAAACTCCACTGGTATGATTGCTACTTATCAATTTTTATTATTTTTTCCCATCTCACAACTAGTTGTAAAAATGTAACAAAAATCTGTTAGAATTTTAATAGAAATTTGGTATATTAAAATAAGTACATTTGATAAAAAAAATTACATAGCACTATTAAAAAAAGGTGTCCTAGTATCAAAATCTTTAAGTTTAAGGATCCGTATATTTAGTGTTTTTTTTTTATTATGTGACAAGTACTCTAATTTTTTAGGATTTAAATGACGAAAGTTTAGTTGCAAGAATATTAGGAGATTTGTATAAAAAACGAAAACCATTGTATTGTGAAAAATGTGGTGTAGCTAAAAAATCTGTGGTTGGATTTTTATCACATAAATCAATGTGTCTGAAAACAGAAGAAGAAAAAGAAAGCATTAAAATAAAATGTGAGCTTTGTGATCGAAAAGTGTTACCTGTAAGTATAACTACTCATATGAAGTTTTGCCATGGAAATGTAAGAAAGGACAACAGCGAAAAGTAAGATATAATGTAAATTAAACAAATCAGAATAATTGACAATTAACTTCTAGAGGCACTAAACTCAGCGAAACAGAAAGTGAAAGTGATACTCACAGCACTCACGCAAATAACGATAATGTAGAATTAAGTAAAAATGAAGCTCTGAGCATAGAAATAGACAGCAGTTTTAAAAAGAAGGCCAAAGATAGTCAAGAAAAAGATATTCCTGACTTTGTGGTATGTGAAATAAATGATAACGTAGATTCTGATGAAAGCTCAAAAAAAATATGTAATGAAAAAGCGAAGCGGAAAAAAAGATTTAAAGTTAAAAAAGAAGCAGATGATAGTGATTTTTTTGGTTTTGAACATGACGATGGTTCTAAAGATATGCCGAAAAAAGAAACTATATTACAAAAACTAAAAAGTGAAAATCAGACACAGAAAGTGTTCACGTCGTTATTTGCACAGATCGGAGAAGTGGAGGCCTCTAGTTCCAGCATTACACCAGTAGAAAGGAAGGTCCCTGAGATCATGTTAGTTATTGTCTTTTATTTATATAAAAAATGGGTTTTCTTCTTATCTTGGCTAGTACAGCTATTCAAAATTAAATTCATTTTCCATAATTATTGTCATTTTAGATGAATCATAATTTTCTTATAGGTGTCATATTTGCAAATTTGAATCGTTCGATTTCTTTTAAAATTTGGATATAGAATAAATTATTTTTCGATTTTTGCAAAATTCATTTAGTAAGAAAACAATTCATTATTATTCTTAATGTAAATTTTTTAGTACACCACGAAGAGGTAGACATCCAAAAGTAATAAACGAAATAATCAATAATGCTAGTGAATGTGACTCAAAAGCTTTTATTGAATGTGCTGTATGCAATAATAAAATGGAACAAACAAATTGGCTGTACCACAAGCTGAGAAGACACAATAATTTGGCTTGGAAAGTTGGGGATCCCCCGATTGTGAGTTACAAAGTTTACATTTGTTTAAATAAAGTTTCCATTTTGTTTTTTTTTTATTTGGAAGTCATTGTCTGATAGTTTATCTTTTATAAATAATTTTAGGATTTAAATGATCATGCAACTGTAGTGTATATACTTAATGGCATTTATAAGCAAAGAAAGCCACTTTATTGTGAAAAATGCGACACTCCAAGAAAGTCTGTAATGGGTTATTTGTCACACAAGTCTTCATGTCAAAAAACTGAAGAAGAAAAACAGGATCTCAGAATAAAATGTGAATACTGCGATAGAAGGGTGATGCCCGTCAGCATGCCAATGCACCTTAAATACTGTCGAGCAATTAATGAAAAGAAATATACTACAGTAAATTTTCAGAATTTTTGTAAAAATAAGAGGAGTGCAGCCACAAAGTAAGTTCATGAATGTTAATAGTTTTTTATGTATAATTCGAAAATCATCAATCAAAGTATTATAAATTGTTTAAATAACTGTTATAAACTGAACCTATACCTTTTTATTCTCTTCATAGCATTATGATGAATGATAAAAACAACTTCGTCTTTCTTACAAATTATAATATTTTAGAGCACAAAAGTTCATAGAACAGTTTTCAAAAGAAAGCAGCAGTGAAGATGTTGATGCAACACCATATATCATTAATGGTATAGTTCCGTCTTCTCGTAAAGGAAAGGTAAAATAAAAGAAATTAAAAAAAAAAAAATACATTACCAAAATTATGTATTTCATTTAGAAAGTGGATTATGCTAAAAGTAGCAATTTAACACTATCAGTTTTACGAATTAAACCGTTCAAAACTGAACTGAAAGAAAAAGGAACTTTAATATGCAAATTTGAAGGATGCACATTTTCATCAGAAAGTGTTCAAGAATTTATGAAACACTTCGTAAATTGTGCCTTTAAACCGAAAGATGTAAGTACACTAAGAGGAATGCTTAGAGGAACTCAACTTTGACCTGTAGTAATGCTATAAATGATAGTTCTGTTTAGTTTTGTCTTTACAAAAGCACTATTAATAACGGTAACGTTATATCCTACATTGTGTGTATATTAAACTTAAATTTATAATTAGGCATACTTCTGCAAAATATGTGTGGGACATTTCGAAACAAAGGAAGAAGTGGTAGAGCACATTAGTGAACATCTTGTTGATCCTATTTTTAAAGAACCGAAAGCTGAAGAAGCCTCTGTTGCTGGTGTTAGTGATAACGAAAGTGATCATGAACAGATGAAAGGAAAAACGTACTCTTCTGCATTTCCCTTTAGAAGTAAACAATCTTTAACGTTTATTTTTTATACTATTTATATACAACCAACTTCTTTTCCCAGATCCTCGCAACGTGAAATTTTTACTTAAATCAACAGCATTGTCCTATGGTAAAGGAAAAGCTAAAGTTTTCCCATTGGCCCATGAATGGACGAAACGCTTGTGAGTACATATACGATAAATTTAATAAAAAACTAAATGTAGTTTTTTTGTTCGTGATTTTGTAAACAGTACTTTTTTTCTTTTAGTTACGAAGAAAATTACGATCTGCAGAATTTATTTCCTGCTTTTATTCCTAGAGAATCAGATTGGATTCCAGTTAGTCCAGTTTTAGTTAATCAGTATTTGCCTCCTTTGAGATATTCTTGTTCTGTTGCTAGAAAAATAGTTAAATCCTTTGAAAATCCCCTAGAAGAAGATTATGAGTGGAAGACTTTTCTTCTCTTTGAATCTCAATTATTTGAAGATGGTGAGTATTAATGCTTTATAAATGTTACATCTTGTAATAATTTTCTTTAGGTTCTTCCACAATCTTCTGTGGTGGCCCAGTACATGCTATGGCTTGGGCTCCCACTCCACCTTATAACATTGATTATGAACAATATTTGGCTGTAGCTGTAGCAAATACAGTTGAAACTAATAAAAAATGCGACGTTGGTATAGGACCTGGCTTGATTCAAATTTGGAACTACGGGGTTTTAATCAATAAACAGTTGCCAAAGTCCAAACCTGAATTAGTTCTTTGTGTCGCTCATGATTACGGAACTGTGACGGCAATAGAATGGTGTCCGTCTGGTTGCTACGACTCAAATGATTCAGAAAAACTGAAAAGACTTGGATTACTTGCAGTTGCATGCAGCGATTCAAGTGTGTATATATATTCAATATGTGTACCCCATTTGTTAAAAAATAGGTAAGATATTTACTCATTTTAACGATTTGTTTCCTTTATTTTGAATCTATTACAACACAGATATATTTGGCACATCCCCCGTCAAAAATTTGAAGAACTGTTGTTTTTCTCATTTCAAATTACTGAATGACTAGTGTAATTAACTCTTATTTTAATATCAATATATACATATTAGAATTTTTGGAAATTAATATTATTTATTTGCAGGAGTAAAGTTTACAAGCCTAAACCTGTATGCCAGTTGCAAGTGGTTAGCACAGAATTCTTTGCTTTTACTACTGAAAGTGTAGTACCAACAAGACTGTCATGGACGAAGGTAAATATTGAAAAAATTAACTGGTAGATGTATTAATAAGTAACAGTAACTTCTTGATCAGCAATTATATAAAATTTTATTTCCAGGCTCGTGGTCACCGATTTTTAGCTGTTGGTTATTCAAATGGTATGGCAGCCATATTTGACTTGTGTACTACATCAGAACTATTAAAAAATTCAAACCAATCTGATAGTGTCGAGGTAATACGCCCTATACAGAATTTAAAAGCCCATAGCTTTGCAATAACAGGTAAACATAAGTATAAAAAGTGTGGAATATTCGAATATATCTCGCAATTTTTTAGGAATTGCTCTTTTCCATTTAAACGATGGGCGTCGTTGGTTAATGACGGCTTCATTAGATCGTGCTTGCAAATTTTGGGATTTAGAAAATCCTTTTGCACCAATTTGTGAATATAAAAAGTTTTTGCTCACGGATGCAATTTGGCTAACCAATTGGCTTTGTTCAGTAGTCGGTCCTGATGATGGAGGATTTGATAGTGAGATTTTTCCATTTTTTGTTCTTTGATTTATTGACTATAATAAAATTCCCTCCTCTTCCATTCTTTGTTGTATGCTGATTTAATAAAAATTTTCAGAACTATCCCAAACATGCATCAACTTGGTTGGAAGTTTTGGTGTTAGTCAAGTTAACTTCTTCAGGAGCTTAAGTCGAGTAAATTCCTTATCAGCAAATGATTGGAACAACAGTTTCCTCCAAGGATGTACATCAGGAGAAGTTACTATTAGCGTTCATGGACAATTACTGTATTGGTTGGACATGGACAAAAGAGAAAAGAAACTGAAAAACTTTGTGAGCAGTTGATTAAATTTAAAAATGACTGTACTATTAAAGTTAATTTCCTTCTTATAGACTATTTCTTACGTGGGACTGATTGATAAATATAGTACAATAGAAAAACGCTTAGAGAAGCATAGAGAAGAAGAAAAACAGACAGTGGAAGAGGATAATCAGACAGATAAAAGTATCGTTGAAGATCTTCAAATGAATTACAATGAAGCAGTTGATAAATATGGATTAGTTTTCTGCGATTTCTCACCCACAGTAAGTCCCCATTAATCTTAAATTTTATAGTATATTTTTTTATATTCTTTGCTCTTTACAATTATTATCTTTTTTTGCTTTTAGGTCGAGCCTGCTAATTATAGTAATTTGAAGCCATTGCCTGATTGTTGTAGGATGACAAACTTAACAGTTTATCCATTAACGTCTGTTTCAAAATGTTCATGTAACCCAAATTGTCATTCCTACAGTTATTTTGCATGTGGTTACCAGGCAGGTTTTGTCAAAGTTTCCTACTGTGATATTACAGATAGATAGCTAATACGTTAAGTCATACTGAACTAAATATTATAATCCACAGAAGTCTGTTCTTATATTTAAATCATTAATTTGGCAATGTCACAACAGTAGTTTTCTTATGTAAAGTAAGGTACAATAAATTGTAAATATTTCCCTTTAACTGCTGTCTGCTTTCTTGTAGAATAATTTGATCATAATACATATATTTTAATATCTTCTAGGAATTTTGGAAGACTGCTAAGTGTTGTTGATTAAACATACACTAGATGTATACTGGTTTACTATCATTTCAGTAAAACTAATTAATTCTTTCACACAAAAACAGTTTTTTTGTTTATTAAACAGAGTTCACTTTTATAAAAAACTCGAAAATTTAAACTTTCTTAAAACTTAAATTTACATTGTAATTATTGTATTTTTAATGTTTTTGTGTTATATTTCCTTTTCCTGAAAATCATCTGTTTGTGTTGAAATGTTCTCATGGGTTTTTCTCAAAAACGTTTGAAGTTTATCTTTTAAATTTCTATTTTGCTCTTCTAATTCCGTTTGCCATTTACAAAATTTTTTGTTCTTTTCTTCAGTAGATTTTAATTTTTCGGTGAGGTTTGCAATAATGTCGTGTGCCTGTTTGATTTCATTCCTCAGACTATTTTCACTTTTTTTCCACTGCAATATAAAAAACCAAAAAAACAATAGTTTATTGATTATAATATTAGTTGTAGATTACCTCGTCTAATATAATTTTTGTGTCTTCATAATTTAAACAAAATGAAGACTCCTTTATGAAGTGACTTAGTTTATCAGCAGTGGCTAAAAAAATTATAGATACTTTTTTATTCGTGTTAAATTAAAGATAAATATAATTTGGTAACAACCTTTAGCACATACATATTGCTTTTCTAATTCAAAATTACTTTCTTTACAACTTTTTAATTCTTTTTCGTAATATTCGGTTTTATTTTGTAAGTCTTCACACATAATAATTGTTTCGGAAATACTTTTCAAACCAGTTTGATTTCTTTCTATTTCCTCAAAATTTCTGAAAAAATACCTCAGAATTTTCCAGAACATAAATCTTTTTTTAATGTTAAAATAACATTTTACCTGATTAATTCTTGAATCTTTGATTCGATTTTACAGTTTTTATTGATTAAATCGTTTTGATAAGAAATATCATTCTCGTGTTGCATTTCTAAATGTTTCAATTTCCTTGTTAAATCGCATTTCTCTAACTCCAATTGCTGAACTAATTCACGAAGTTGCTTATTTTCAGAAATCTTAAATAAGAAGTTAAGAACAAAAATGCTTTGTTGGTATTTTATTTTATTTTTACCGCTGACTCGTATTGCATTTTTGTTTTTGTTGTAAAATTTAAATAATTCTGCAATTTTTCTCCGAGATTTTTATTGTTCTGTAAAGCTATTTCAAAATTGAATTCCTTTTCTCTAATTGTCGTTTTGGACGAATCTAAGTTTCTTTTAAGGTCGTGTATTTGCAAATTTGCTTCATCTAATTCTTTTCTGAGTTGGTCAACTTGAATCTAAAGTTTATTATATTCGTTATTTTTAAAAAATTAAAGAGAAATTGTCATTTCAATTGGTGTGAACATCATCTGATGTTCAATAATATTTTTACAATTACACTTATTAGAAATACTGTACATTCTAGGCTTTATACCTTTTTTATCGATAATTCATTAAGAATTTCTCTAAATTGTCTTTCAAATAATTCAATATCTACATCATTTGTTTCATTGTCCAGTTCTTGCATTCTTTTTAAAGAAGCCACAACTTGCGCAACAGACATTTTATGCTGATTTCTTTTTATCTAATATTTACTGAAAAATTTAAGAACAGATTTAAAAGTTTGAGTAGCGTCCTCCTATTTCTATTTGCTTCGCGTTTTAGGATTGTTGTAACTGTCTACAATAATTGCTTTTGTTTTACTACTTTGTTTTTTTGCCCACTCGTTTTAATAAATATTACTATGCTGAAATATTTTTCTACGTTTTCACTTAAGTTTTAAACACATTAAAACAACTAACGTAACAGAGTAATTTTAACTAACAAACTATAATTAAATTTATTTACGTAAATATAACCTCAAATTTATGCAATGAAGTACACTCTACCAATGCATCGAGAGTGACTAACTAAAGCATGCAAGTTCTATTGATATTTACTGTCTCGATGCATCTGATTGGCTACAACGTCGGCGGCCATCATTTTTCTGCGAAAATATAGGTCAAGTTCAATCCACCTGCATTCCTTGGAATGTTATTAATGCAGATGTAAACAAAGCTAGGCGCCACTTAAAAGAATTAAAGTAGGGAAACTTTAAGAAAGGATAACTTGGTTATTTCTTATTCGATTTAGATGCGGTTTTCACCAAAATTCAGGAAATTTAACATTATTTAACACTAATAGGAAATTAATAACATAAATTTGCAAACATTTGACTGAAAAAGTTGTTTTACGATTTACTGTACGTTTATATTTCCTGAATATGAATTTAAGAAGCTGGAAAGGGTAATTTTATAATGATTCCATGTAAAATAATGTAATCTTTTGTGTTTTTTAGTAGATAAGTATTTAATTTACTTCAGTTTTAGCTAATTTTAATTAATTTCTGAGAGGTGTCAGCAGGCGCCATCGACGACTTTCTTAAAGGTGTGAGCATGTTATTACATTAACTAATAAAATTGAAGGATTGTATATTTTATTTTCCGAATATGTTTCGTGGCTTCATAAAAAAGAAAATTTTGTATAATAAAACTCTACAACATAAAAAACACACTTATTTACTAAATAGGTACCTAAAACTATTACACTTATGTTTCAACGGCGTAACTTAAGTTTTTATCCATTCCCTTGTCGTATGTATATAACACCACCGGAAATCGCGGTTGAACTTTTTTCAAAGTTTGCTTTCGTTTTCTTTCGCTTCGCCTGACACTCCAACGATTCCATTGTCTTTCGAAAGTTTTATAGCATTTCTCGATCGACTCTTTTTTCCTCTGGTAAGAAATCGTTCTAGCCACAGTTGAAAATTTTCGCTTGCTTGTGTTTTCCATGACATATCCAACAATTTCGTCTTCATTAATATTTGCATTTACATTTGTTACCATTGTGACAGTTTTAACATCTGTATTTGGAAATTCGACGTTTTCATGTGCTTCATTTTCAATAAAATTGCTACATTCTACGTTTGTGCGATCTAGTGATATTCTACAAAGGCTTCTTGTAGATGTTGAAGAGGTATATGCGCTTGCTCTCATTTGGGAAAGGAACCACTTGTCAAATTTAACTTTCAGCCATTCTTCGGAACTTTCAAATTTCACCATAATGATTTGTTTGAACAGTAAACGGAAAATGACTTGAAAAGCTTGTATGTAAAAGTTTTATACGGACGCCGCGGAAATAATTCTCCCTGAAGCTTAATTTAATAAAGGATGCGGATTTTAATATACAGTATTGTCCAAAAGTCCCAGTGTACATACCAAATCTGACATTTAATTCTATATAAACTACCTAACATTCGTAGCAATTTTGTTTGCATTGAATCAAACATGAAACCGTTTTATAAAGATTTATAGTTTTATGAAAGTAAGAATTCTGTTACAACTGTTACATTGTTATACATTTAATGGAAAATGATTTTTGCTACGTACGTTATATTCAAGGGCAGGTCAAGGATTCTAACGCAGAACAGTTTTACATAATGTATTTAGTTATATGAAAGAAATTTAAGTGAACTTGTTTGTGTTCGTTAGTTGATTATGCACAAGTTCTAGTACGTTATATAAGCGTAAACAAGCCCTATAAGTACTACTGAATGAGCCACATATAACATCTCAATTTCAATGATATTATAATACGTTTGTAGTGTATATTCGATATCAAATTCGAATGTTTATTTTTAAATCGTTCAATTTGAAATTAAACACTAAAATACAAAATTCCATATGTAAACATTTAGAAAAATTAAAATGCGTTTCGGCACCTAAGTTGCAAAAATGCAAAAAAATCATATAATGCTTTTAACAAAATATTTCAATTTTACAAAATTACATGGCCATCACTCGATTTTTTGCAGGTAAGCATTGTAACAATAATAACACGGAATATATTTTCTTTAATTTTAACTTTAGTTAATTAGTTACAATTAGTTTCTAATTAAACCATGTATATTTCATATTCTAATACATATGATGTACAGCGCATGTTCTCATTTGTCAACAGCTAATCTCACAATATTACAATCAGTATTAGTCAAGCATGTCGCAGGATGTAAGCGTATTGTTTTAGAAAACAAGTTGTGTTTAAATTAGTTTATGTTTCTCCGTATATTGTTTATAATGAAACTTACGGTGGATACTACCCCGGGGAAGTGTAGGTGATTTTTGGATTAATAGTTGAAGATGACGATCCTAAATACGGAAGTGCTCTGCCTAATGAAAATTAAGGTAAAAATAGTTTCGCTTATAATATATTTAATAATAACTGTATCCCCATTCGAAATATTTTTATAACTAAATGGTAAATGATGTAGAAAACCTGCAATTATCAGGAAGTATTAATAATATTAGGGAATTTCTGGCAGTTTAATTGTAACAATTCAAAGTTTCGAAACTAAAGTAGCCTATAAATAGTATTACACCCTAGACCCTAGAGGATAAACAAATATGCAATAAAAGAATTATTTTCTTCCTGCATTTTCGAATAGAAATTTTAAATCGAAACAAAGAGAAAGGTTTGATCGTGTTATTTCATGTTGGTATATGTTTGTATAGCGTCCATGTATCGACCAAGGTTAGTAAGTCATTCTGATAAAAGGCTGATTAAACTGGTTAAAAATGTGAATGTGATCAAAAAACTGTATCCATAAAAATATTTTTCTCTTGTTGGTACATAAATTAACTTAAATTTAATTATTTGCATGTATATATTCATTATTAAAAACTTCAAGTTATTTTTACATTAAAAATACAATTTTCATATTCATTTTCCTGCAAAGCTAAACAGTATATTTCCTTTGTTATCTCGTAAAAAAAACAAAATTATTCTTATTTATTCACTTTTAACCTAAATCAAAATTTTACTACACCTAAATTATATCCTGAAACAATTTAAAAATTAATAGAAATATGTACGCTTTTACTACCGCGAAACACATAATAAAGAAAAATTGCTCGTTTCTTTCCCCAATAGACTTATTAATCATAATTTTAAAATTTTTGTAACACCAAAACGTTTCGTTTATTAAGTACCCCTTTTAACATAATCATCGCGTTACCATTCCTACTTGTTATTACTTTCATTACTGTTCATTCTCCCTGTTCACATATTCTGTATTTGAATCCTTTCTAGCTCCTTTGCATCCTCTGCTTTTATTTCTTAATCTTGATATTACATCCATCCTCTGCATACAGCCCCTCTGTCAAAATGTTTTCATAATAATACGTTCATGCATTTCACATATTTATTCTTCTCACATCATCCCTCTTATCACCTCATTACATATTTTCTTCACCATCTCTCTGACATACGCACCCCTCATTCTTCCCCATTGATTTAGACTTTCCCGATTCAGCTTTACTTTCTTTAAAGCTTCTTCCCTTTATTTGTAATATGTATTTCTATTCCGATATAAAAAACATTCCTTCGCCCTCTTCCTTTAAATTTTATAATATCCCCTCATAATTTATTATTTCTTTTTTCTGCTTTCCCTTCTAATGACATAATCCGGCATACCTCTGCCTAAGTCCAAAACATTTTCTACCTGTTCTATTTGTTTTTTCACCTCCAAATTTCTATCCCACACTGAATTGTCGCATTAAAAAACCTTTTCCTTTTAATCCAATCATTCACACAGAACGTTTGCCTTACCTCCCATATCCTTTTCCTAATTCTGATTCGCGTTCGTTATTTGAACATCTATATGTCTCTTATCATATCATTCTCCTCATGACATTCTAATTAAATATATTTTTTAACCTTTTCTATTACTTTTCCTTTCTTTCTTTTTCTTTCGTTTGTCCTTCTTTTCCTACAATTGCTGCCTACTTCCCAAACTCTATAAACTTCACCTTACTAGTATTCAATTCCAATTTCTTCCTATATAGGCATCATTTCTTTCAGATACCATAATTGATTAATATCTTCCTACTACTATTCCTCCTTCCCTTACCTTACTTATTTCTCTTTCAAAATCACTTAAATATATATTAAATAACTATGCACTTAATTTACAACTCTGTCTTACACCCCTTTCCATCTTTATTTACATCCTCGACACTCATTCCCTAACTTATGTATTGCTTGCATGTTTATTTCCCTCCCTTTTCCTAGTATCTTGACACCCAAACCCCTTGTCAGTCTCTCCACAAATTCCCTACATCTGCTCCTCAATATTCAGCCCTTCCCTAAATCACTTCCCCACCTGTTCCTAATTGATTTTTAATCTCTTCAAAGCTCTCTCTCTCTGTACATCATTTCTTCTTTTCGCCCTATTTCTAATATCTTCTTCGTCAATAATTCTTTTCTGTTCTATCTCCTTCTTCCAGCCTCTCCTTATATTATACTATCCTTTTTAGAACTTCTTCCCACATCTTCCCACGTTTAGTCTCTCTTCTTATTACGTAATCCGACTTACTTCTCTCTAATTGTAATACCCATTTAGTATATCATTTATATAAAACCTCTGTCTAGTTTCCCCATATTTCCAACCCATAAAACACTATACTCTTCACCATCACATTGAATAAAAATAAATCTACCAAAATCGTCCTACTCCATAACCTTCCCATAATCACCCTCCCCTTAGCCACTTGATTGGTAATATGCATCTCATCCCCCCATTCTGTCCCTTGATTTTTCACTATTTAGCTCCAGCCCTTCCTTTAATCTTTAATGAATGCTGTTCCAGTATTTCTACCATTTAAATTAGTGTTTTGGATTTTTACAGTTTATTATATTTGTTACCGTTTATTGCTATGAAAAAGTCGAGAATTAGCATATTTACTTTAGGTAATTTCGGCGATGGCGACTGGTTCTTAAAAATTTTTTCTTTTTTTTGAGAAACTATACTTTGCAGATTAATAAGTCGCATTTTTAACTATTAACAAAATGAGCTTTCGACAGAAATTGAGAATAATATGTATTATTGTAGATGTTTGATTAATTGAGCGTACTACCCATCATTTTCCCTCCGAATGCTAACTCTCTCTGTTTGAACGGGAAGACAAGTCTGTTCTCGTCGTATTATCAAACCAATTTCTTGTAACAAATAAAACGATATTTTTGAACAAATTAAATATACTAATGTTTTTTTTATCTGTTACCGTTTATTTTGTTGAGAAAAAGTCGGGAATTGAATATTTAATTTTATCTCGGAAAATTAATGATGACCGAGAATGGTGATTGGTTTTGAAAATACTTTCCTTATTGAGGAACTATATTTTACAGATTAATATGTCGCATTTTTTACAATTAATAAAATGAGCTTCCAGCAGAACTTGAGAGTAATATGTATTAAAAATTTTTATCCATCGAGCGTACTCCCCTTTCATTTTCCCTCTGAATACTCACCCTCTGTCTGAACGGGAAGATAACTCTGTTCCCTTTGTATTAACAAACCAATTTCTTATAACAAATAAAACTACATTTTTGAACAAATGAAGCATATTAATGTTTCTTTGTATATGTTTGCGTTTATTGTTATGAAAAAGTCGGGAAATAGAGTATTTACCAAATTTATGGGTAGCTAATTTCGAAAATTAACAATCAAAGTTGAAAACTCATCGATTGTTTGAAAGCTATATTATTGCCGAGGGTTGTAGCCGATTTTTCATATTTTTTATTTATACTTAAGCTGTTTCTATAGTTAAGAATAGTTTTATCTGTTTCTCAAGCGCAATTTTCTTTCTCTTATACTCCGAATACTTGCTCTTTTTAACAGTCGTATGGTCGAACGGACGACCGAGAGAACAGTACATTTTAATCGTTGTAATTTATAAATAGCAAATAAAATTTTGATTTGAATATAAATGCTTTATCTTTGTATGAATTAAATATATTTGAACTTGTATTACAATGAGAATATTTTAATTTGTCTGTTGTCTAATATGTGGGGCTAATTTCGGAAATTAACAAGCAATGTTGAAAACTCATTAATTGTTTGAATGCTATACGATTGTTGAGAGTCGTTGGCGATTTTTCGTATTTTTTATTTATAATTAAGCTGTTTCTATAGTTAAGAATAGTTTTATCTGTTTCTCAAGCGCAATTTTCTTTCTTTTATACTCCGAATACTTGCTCTTTTTAACAGTCGTATGGTCGAACGGACGACCGAGAGAACAGTACATTTTAATCGTTGTAATTTATAAATAGCAAATAAAATTTTGATTTGAATATAAATGCTTTATCTTTGTATGAATTAAATATATTTGAACTTGTATTACAATGAGAATATTTTAATTTGTCTGTTGTCTAATATGTAGGCACTAATTTCGCAAGTTAATAACCAAAGTTGAAATCTCATTGATTGAAAGCTATACCATTGTCGGGGTTGCAGTCGATTTTTGGTATTTTTTATTCATAATTAAGCTGTTTCTATAGTTAAGAATAGTTTTATCTATTTCTCAAGCGCAATTTTCTTTCTCTTATACTCCGAATACTTGCTCTGTTTAACACTCGTATGGTCGCACGATCGGCCGAGAGAAAAACTCATTTTATTGGCAATATTTAAAATCAGANGCAATTTTCTTTCTCTTATACTCCGAATACTTGCTCTGTTTAACACTCGTATGGTCGCACGATCGGCCGAGAGAAAAACTCATTTTATTGGCAATATTTAAAATCAGAAACTTGTTTTGAAAACTGGTGTTTTATTTGTATAAAGTAAGTTTTTTGGTATTTGTATTACGAAAAGGGAATATATTAATTTGTTTATTCAGTAATGCGCGGTGGCTAATTTCGAAAATTTATAACGAAAATTAAAAGCTCATTAATTGTATTCATCCTATACCTTATCTTTGTCATCATCATCATGAGGTCGTCAGTCCTAAGACTGGTTGGACACGCACCTCCACTCTTTCCTATCCTGAGCTAATCTTCGCATTTCCCTATAACTAGATTAAAGCAGAATTCATTTTAACTGAAACTTCTTATATTGGCTCCTCTGGTACGTTTTTATTTTTTGATATCGTTTTATTTATCACATAAACGTTTTTTTGTTCTTTCAGGGCGATATATACTTGTCTGTGTTTTTTCATGACTGATAAAAGCGAATTCGTCATTATCAAAACGGCTTGTTTCGCCAAAGAATGAAAGAATGAGATAGATATAATGAGAGTGAGAAAGAGACGGAAATTGAAATACTTCCTGTAAAAGAAAAATACTTCGGTGTCCAGATACGATCTAACGCGAACAATAGATAGGAATATTACAATTTACAGTTATTATTAATTCGGCGCCATGTTAATGGGTAGTTTCTAGTGCTTTTAATTAATTGAATTATCGCGATAGTTTTCGTAAATTACTAAAGAAAACTTATCCGATATCGTGTTGTACAATCATCAATGTGAATTTGAACAGTGATTGGGGCGAAAGTTGCACTTAGGATTACGATTACGAAAAGTGGTGAGTGATTGAAATAAGAGTTATCATTCGTTTTGATCTTTACCTTGCATGATCGTCAACGTTAAATTTAGTGTTTGTTATGTTTTAAATAATAAGGGTGCACATTAGGAATACCTCAATTTGATAACAAAGACTGAATCCAAACGCGCAAGTACTAGTTGTATGATTGCAATTGTGAACACTGAATTACACAATAGTTTTAATTAAGAAGTTCTTTTATTAGAACAAAATATATTTTTATAAATGATCTTTACGAACTTTTGTGAATTACGTAAAAGA